AATAAACCTCTGGAGTTGCTCTATCCAGCACTGCCCAGAGAGAGGAAGTGAACCAGATGTGATGGGACTATGACATGCAGCACCCACTCCTGACTGGCTCTGATTTCCAGGCAATTTGAAGTCATTGATATATTCAGCTAAATGAAAGCTTTGGTATCCAGCCCTTAACTGCTCAGCAGCCCCGTGCAGAAAAAGTTTTGTTTAACCCCTTGTCCTAAGCAGAGCAGAGCCACCCAATACCTCAAGCGGAAAGGTGCCAGAGGAGAGGAATCCTGAGTCACTCTGACCTTGCCACAGGAAACTGCAGGACAGAGGAACTGCCTGTGGTGCAGCATGGCTGAGTCCTAGCAGCTGGGTGTTTCATGCAGCATGAATGGAAGTGCTCAGCCAGAGAGAAAATACGAGAAATATGGATGCATCTGTGTCAGGAGAGAAAGAGAGGTACAATGTAAAAAAAGGGGAAATGTCAGAAGTGCTAAGCCAAGTGAAATCCTAGCTCTGTTAAATGTCAGTGACCAAGGTCCTGCTGTCTTCAGTAGGATGAAGATTTTACCCAGGGGTTAAGAGGTGAGCTCAAAACTACCAGGATGATTCAGAGCAGGCAGAAACAGAGGTCTGCTCAGGGCTGCAGTAACTCAGCCAGCAGCTGCCAACTGGGAGCATTTGGCCATGGGCATGACAGGTGCCATAATCTCCTGTCATCATGTACTTTGTATCTTTGATTATTTTGAGATCAATAGACTGACATGCAAAGAAAAATATATATTCAATAGAACACTTGACATCAGAAGCTTCTTATATGGGAAGGCTCTTATATAGAGAGAACATCCCTATCAGCCACTATGAGCTCCATGGAGTTCAAGATTTTAGGGCCTGAAAGGAACATTACAATCTTCTAGCCTGAACTTTGAGATAAAATAGGCTACAAAACCAAATAATTTCTGCTTCAGGCCAATATCTTCTGGATGAGTTATAGATCATCACTTACAAACTTCCAGCCTTGGTTTGAAGACTTTATATGATAGAGAAAATTTAAAACATCTGTAGGCAGATAGCTCTGGTCAGTCTTCGTGTCTCAGCAGTTTTGATTAATACAGCAAGTGTCTCTTCTGTTAATATTAGCATTATCATGTCTTATATCCATCTACAGTGCAACATATGGTGGAAGGATAATGTAAAAATGTCCAGTGACAGTGACTTCAGTGGATCACCATTGCTACCCAAGGTTTAAGAACACAGCTAAAATAAAAAAATACTAAGAGAGACTTTTATTCAAAGTATTTTTACATATGTAAATTTTGAAAGGAGAAAGGCAGGAGCTGCATGCACTTACACTGCAGAGAAGACAAGATAATCTATGCAATGCTGCAAGAATCCAAAAGCCATTGTAGAGGAGATAGAAGAGCATAGGGAGATCAGGTCTGACCTATCTCTTTGAATCATCAGAGAATCACAGAATGTTTTGCGTTGAAAGCAACCTTAAAGATAATTTAGTTCTAACCCTCTGCCATGAGCAGGGATGTCACCCACTAGATCAGGTTGCTTCAAGCCCCATCCAGCCTGGCCTTAGACACTTCCAAGGATGGGGCATCCACAAGTTTTATGAACAATCTATTCAGTGCCTCACTGCTCCCTCAGTAAAGAAAGTCTTCCTAGCATCTAATCTAAATCTCTCCTTGTTCCATTTAAAACCATTCCCCCTGCCCTCACCCTGTCCTCCCATGTAAAAAGTTGCCCTCCATCTTTTTTTAAGGCACTTTTATCCACTGAGGTCTGTCTAGACAAGGACAGCTTTGAACCCAGTGCTGACAGAGACAACAAAGAGCATGCTTCTGTAATAGAAATGGAGGAGAAGTAACACTTCTTTAGAGACTAAGGGGTTAACAATAAGCATTGTTTCTACTGAGATTCAAGTTGTCCAGGACACAGGAGAAGGCTGAAGTAAGGCTAAAACTGAGGAAAGAACCAAGTCAGCCCAATACATGTGCCTGGATGAAGGATATATTTGCAAACAAATGGGAGAAGTGGAAAAGTTCAGCCCCAAGGATAAGACAGATGAACTATGGAAAAGGAAAAAGGATGAGCTGGATCAGAAAAATGTGAGAGAATTCAATGTTTCTAATGTTTCTTTCCCCAGGAAACCATCTGAGTCATGGAGCTGAGGAAAACTTACATAAAGCCAGAATTTTTTCTGGTGAAGACAGGGTGAAAATATTGCCAGAAATTAGTTAGAGAGGTATTGAGTAATACAAGTACTGATGTATAAGAAACTTCAGTATATATCAGCAAAGCCCCTATGTCTATACCTTTATTCTGACAGTGGTCAGAGCATTAACTTTGTATGAACTATTTCTAATCACCCCTCAAGGAGGCTAAAAATGATAAAGGTGCCACATGATGTAGGGTGGACCTCAGGTTGATAAACTGATGGGCTTTTCAAACTGGGCTCTGTGTTTAGCTTGAGCTAGAACACCCAAATAACCCACACCCCTCTACCTGTCCTTGGGCAGGGATGCAGAGCTGGGTCTGAAGGAAAAAGAGAGAAATTGTGGTGCACAAAGAGCTGTCAGAACACAGACTCAAGTTGAGAAGCAGCCCCTGTGCATATCCACACCCTCTGTGAGCTCTGGGCAGTTCTTTAGGCAGAAAACAGGGTGCACCTCCGCACACTCTAGGATGCTAGTACCACACAGAGGTAGTTACAAATTTGAGAGAGCTTTAGACCTGGTGGGTTTAGTTTTTCAGCAGACTGCAGCTGGGAGCCACATAACCCACAAAATGTTACTCTGCCTCAGAGATGTTTGGGGAGGAACTGTTTCTGGAGAAATTTGAATCAGTTTACAGAGAACTGGAGAATTAGAGAAATCATAATAAAGTTCTGAATAATTTATTGGCAAGATGATAGCTTGAATTTTTACCCTAACAGACCCAGTCATGCTGAGGCACAGCTTGTGTAACTCCAGGTTGAATGCTGGGGAAGGAAATTGCATATCATACCTGGGGAGCCCCAGTGGGGTAGGACAGAGGTCAAACCAAGAACTGGCTAATGCAGACAAGACAAAACCAAAGTTTGAGGTGGTAGGATTGTCTAATATATCCCTGACAAGGTGTACAGAGCAACGCCCCCACCCTCTAGGAGTGAAGCTGCCTGTACAAGGTCAGCTCACTGATACAGACAGCTGCTGGGAAAGCCCTGCAGGGACCCTCAGCAGGGGCTCCTCCCTCAGCTGCTTGGCAGCTGCTTTTAAACTGAAGGTCTCATTCCTGGCTCCTGTCTGACCTACATGCCTGTAGCAGGCCATGTACCTACTGATCTGGACCCCCACTCAGGGACTTGACTTCACAGCCAGAAATTGGAGCTGCTTCATTCCCATCAACTTGTCTGGTGATGTGGACCAAAGACAGAGTCTGGCTACAGCCCATAACTGCTCTGCTTGTCTTGCTCAGGTACAGTGAGATGGGGCCAGGGCTGGGGAAAACCTGCTCTGATGACACTTAACACATTTGGTTCCCAGCTTCCTGTCCTTTAGAAAGTAGCTGGTCACCCCAGTGCCCTGGTAGTCTTCATTCACTTCTTCTCAACCATTTCCATCTTTGTGGAGATATGAGTTTCTTTAAAATAATGGCTGGAAATACAACTACCTTGCTGCTCTAACATGAGACAGTCTCAGCAATCCTGACATCACAGTGGAGGTGCCTTGGTTTTCTCAGGGAAGGCATGATTTTAATGATTTTCATGATTTTTCATCTGCAGCAGCCCCAGTTCTTTGGCTGGCCAAGATTCTAAACCAGGATTTCCGAAGTATGCAGGGCATGGCCTTTGGGCAGTCCAAAATACTTATGGCCATCCTGGACAGATACCACAAATTTCAGAGACAGTCCCTGCCCTTGTTTCACCATGCACCTGGCACTGGGCAGCCTTCTCCAGAGACCAGGAGGACAAGTTTCCCCTGGGAACAGGTTCCCCTTCATGGGAAGACTGGAGCCATTTAGCCTGATGAACTGGCCCAGAGGCCTGCAAAACGGAGAAGAGGAGTAATAGGGAACTGCTTCTCCTCGAAGCTGAGGCAGAAGATGGACTTTTCATGCTGATCTGGAGCTACAGTTCCAGCCCCAATTTGGTATTCCACTGATGAACTGGCCCCATGAGCAGGCTGCAGCAGCCAGGCTGAGAGCTGTTGATCGCTATCTCAGGACATGTGCTGGTGGGGCTCTTGCCTCGGGTTGAGCAAAACCAGGGAAGTCTTATGGTTTCTCTTCATTTAATGTCTTTGGTTGGGGTAATGCTGGCAGGGATGAGGTGTGTGGTGTCTAGCCCACAGATGATAAAAGGCAAGTTAACAAGAAACTGTGTGGTTCAGAAACCCTGCTCACGGGCATGGGTGTCTGGAGAATCCCAGCAACTGTTCCACTTCCTCTGATGGCATGAAGCCAAATGCTTCTCCAATGTGCAAAGCTTCCAGCTCAATATTATTAAAGAACACTGCCCAGTTTTAATTCTTAGTTTACCTCTGTGGGCCCTAATTTCTCTTCTGACCTCTTATTTATCTCAGAATATGGGATGAGCAAGAAAGCCAGAGAACCCGTGGTTTCCCTACACGTAAGCCTTGCGCATCTCTCCTCCGGGGCCGGTGGCCCACGCCGTGCGTGTTTATGAAAGCAGGGATGCCTCCATCCCTCCCTCCCTCCCTTCCTAACCCCACCTCCCCAGCACGGCTGGAGGCGAAGCGGGGCCGGGGCCTGCGGGGCCGGGCCGGCCCTTCTTTGCGCAGGGGCGGGCGGCAGCCCCAGTCCGCTGGCGGGCACCGGCCCCAGCCCGCCGAGGAGCGGCCCCGCCGCCGCCGGTGCCGGCTTTTTGGCATCCCTAATCGCGGCTGGCCCCTGTGATTGGCTGCGCGGCTCTGACCCCGCTCGGGCTCCCGGCTGGGCGGATAAAAGGGGCCTGAGCCGGGGGCTCCCAGGCATTCCCGGAGCGGGCACCAGGGACCGCTGGCCGCAGCATGACGGGCAAAGCGGGCGCGGCGCTGGCCCCCAGCCTGCCCGGCAAGCCCAAGTCCGACGGCGCGGCCGCCGCCCCCGCCGCCCCGCCACTGCCTCCGCCGCCCCCCGCCGCTGGGGTCAAGTCCAACTCTGGGCCCACCCCTCCCCGCTGCACCGGCTTCGGCATCCAGGAGATCCTGGGCTTGAACAAGGAGCCGCCGTCGCACCCTCGGGCCGCCCTGGACTCTCTGCCCGCCGGGCACCTGCTGGCGGCCCGCTCCGTACTCAGTCCCGCCGGGGTGGGCGGCGTGGGCATGGGGCTGCTGGGGGCCAGCGGCATCCCCGGCTTTTACACCCAGCCCACCTTCCTAGAGGTTCTCTCCGACCCCCAGAGCGTCCACCTGCAGCCCCTGGCCCGGGCCCCCGGGCAGCTGGACAGCAGCCAGACGGCCAGCTCAGGTAGGCACGTCCCCGGCCCCCGGGGACCCGCTGCGCCCCACCAGCACCGTCGTCCGCACCCAGCAGCCACCCGCACCCGGTGTCCCGGCGGGAGGTCACTTGCTCGGTGGTGGAAGGGAGATTTCGTTTCGATCTTGAAAATGAGGAGAAGGGCGGGCAGGATGATATTTTTCCCCGTCGGGGGCTGCGGCCGCCGTTTGATGGCGTGGCCCCGAGCGCCCGGCCTAGGGATGCGCAGAGCCCCGTCGGAGCGGTCCCCGCGACCCCGTGTTGCCGGATAATTAGGGGTCTTTCAGCATCCTTTTCCTAGACGGCAGCAGCCTCCCACAACTCTGCCCACAGGCCCCGTTCCGCGGCCGCTTCGGGTCCCCCCAGAACGGCAGGCAGCAGCGCCGGACCCTGGCTCCGGGGCAATTCCCGGCCTCCCTCCGCCAGCGGGGCCCGTCCCGGGCCATGCCCGCCGCCCCTGCCCGCAGCACGGCCCGCCGAGCACGGGGCCGGGCCCGGGCAGGCGGCGCGGCGCCGCAGGCAGGAGTGGGACTGGAGCGCGCATCGAAATACGGGACCCCGATCCGTCCGTCCCCCAGCTGTTCCTTCGGGGCAAAGGCGGCGGCGTCCTGCCCTTAACACCCCTGGGCCGTGGCATCCCTGCCGGGGGCCTTGTTTTTGATGGTAGCTCCATAAACCTCAATTTCTCCCTCCCCGGTCCGGTGTTTCTGGGGCGCAGTCCGGGATCCCCGGGCTGGGGCAGACGGACGCGGTTGCCCGGCCGCGGAGCGGGGGCTGCAGCTTTCCCGTTTTCCTACGGTTTGGTTGAGCTCGCCGGCCTCTGCGTTTTAGCAGCGAGGAAGCAGCAGCCTCAGCAAACGACTCTGGTGGGGAGAGGCGAGAGCTAGAGCCCGGTCCCGGCCCGGAGCCTTCCCCGGCTGGGGCGTATCGCCCCGAGCTGCCCGCAGCGGATCGGGAGCGGCGCTGGCGCCGCGCCGGAGGGAGCAGCCGGCGTCGGGCCCCGTCCGCGGCGCGATCGCAACGAAATCTTCGGCCAGAGCCGGCGGAGGGAGCGGAGCCGGTGGGCCCGGCCCTACCCGGAGGACTCTGGTGAGGAGCGAACCCCAGCCCATAGCCGCTGCCTGTCTTTCCGCAGATTCCGAGGATGTCTCCTCCAGCGACCGAAAAATGTCCAAATCCTCCCTAAATCAGAGCAAGAAACGAAAGAAGAGGCGGCACAGGTAAGACAGCGGCGGGCACCCCGCCTGCTCCTTTCGCCTCAGTCCCCAGGGAGCCGGCCACCGGCGAGCCCTGCCGCCCCGGCGGGAACGGCCCGCTCCGGCTTGGAGCAAAATATTCTTCCCGGCATCGCCGCCGGAGAGCCCCGGCGCCCCTGCGGCTTCTCCAGTGGGTCCTTCCCTTTATTCTTTCTTTCTCCCCGTCCAAAATAGATCGAATATGGGGATGTGCCTATAGGGAGTGGGGGATTTGACCACAGGTGTAATTTTATTTAATTTTTTCTGGCTGCGGATCCAGGTATCCCGAGTCGCAACCCTGTGCAGCCCATGAGCTGCGGTGGAATGCGGAGCATCAGGGTTTGGAAGGGAAAATCATCAACTTGTCAAAAATAATAAAAGCCGTTTTCAGCTCCACGTACAGCAATCTTAATACTGGCTTTCAGGAAGACAGAATTCCTGCCAATAATTTAAATATTTTATTACGTAAAAATAAATATTTTTGCCAATAGATTAAATAATTGGGAATCAAAGACAACCTGCAAAGGAGATGAAGAAGGCTGGGAAACTGTTTAAGGAAACGACGATCCACTTTGGGATTTGGTTTCCTATTCGCACGGTCAGGGTAATAGACTTTGCCTGACTTCTCCCACAGTTAAAATGGAGTTGGTTTGTTTGCGCTTTAAAAACAGAAACGAAAAATCCCGTGCTGGGTTCTGGCATTGCTGAGGCTAGAGCGCCAAGACAAAGGAAGGCCAAACACCATCCACTGAGGGTGATTTAGGAATAATTAAATCAATCCTGCCACGATGCAGGAAAGGTGGATTAAAAGACGCTCCAGTGAAAGCTTAGCAGGATGAGGGGTGGAAGGAGACCGACTATCCCAGGAGACATCCTATTATGTGTGCAACAGGAAACTCGGTCTGGAGGCTGCTTTCCAAAGCCGGGCCCCCCACACCCCCAGGCAAATGTTCCCAGGTTGGGTGCTCTGGAGTAAGTACGAGTTCGTTTTCTTTGCACCCCAGACGGGGCTGGGTGATAACACAGCTGGGACTGCTATACAGGTCCCGATCTGGATGAGAGATAGGAAACGAAATTCAGATTTCTTTTGTTTTCAGTTCTAGACAGAAACAGACCTGCAACATTTGTGTGTAGTTGGATATTCTGCTGTAAACAGTTAAGACCTCTAATTGTACCAAGGAAGGGCTGGAAGATGACTGACCAATAGCCTGCAAATAGCTGCAGGAGAGAAACACCAAAGGGCCAGTGGATTGTGAATTGCAAAAGGGACGGGGACTACCCGGGCATGAGCTAAAAAAGGAAAACTTCAGCTGAATGTCAGCAAAACCCTCCCGCCGGTGAGCCTGGACATGCTTCCGCGCTCTTATGGGAGGAAGATGGAGGGGAATGCTTGAAATCTAGACTGGATGAAAATTGGAATAATTTTCCTGTGGTCGTAGAGAGAGAAAATACATGATTTGGTGTGTTTCTGCTGTCCCTAGAGTTCACAGATTTGTCAGAGTTGAAGAAAAACTGTTTGAAAAGAGAATGGATTTAAGAGTGAATTTAAAGAAGGGTCTGATTGCAGGCAGGTCCCTTACATTTGCATCCTGCTTTTGTTAGTATTATTACCGATCTGGTGGAATCCTTTTCATTTTTGTATAGCGGAGGGCATTTCTGATATTTTCCCTTTATGCTCTCTGGAATTGAAAGGCTTTTCTGAAATTTGGTTGTATTTTAGAAAAAGACTCAATTTCCTCTTTCCTTCTGGAAGATATATGGTTTTTAGATTGATGGTAAATTAACACATTTACTTTGCACAAGGGCTCCAATTCGTGTTGGGTTGAAGATTGTTTTATTTTGGTTTCTTTCTTTCGTTGAGTTTTTTTGTTTGATTTGGCTTTTTTGTTTGATTGTTTTTGTTTAGTTTTGGTTTGGGTTTTTTTTGTTTGTTTGGTTGGGTTTTTTGTTTGTTTCTTGTTTAGGTTTTGGGTTTTTAAATTTTTTTTTCCATTGCAGTATTTTTAACTGTTATCAAAAATTGTGCTTTCTGTACTGGAGGAGTTGAAGGGTGGGAGTTTTAACCCTCAGGGAGTGGAAGTAGTCTGAGACTTCTCATCCATCTGCTGTGGAAGGGCTTTCATCTGTCTCGGCTTTCCAGCTGCTGATTTTTCAATTCCGTTGTCCCAAACTGAGAAGTGACTGTGCAAAGGCAGGATGGGCTGCTGCCAGCCCAGTTCAGCCCAGGAGGATTTCTAAAGGATAATGGGGTAATGCAAACTGGCAGGGAGCAGCTAACGAGATATTGGAGTGGAAGCAACCAGGGTAAAGGCAGAGGAAGGGAGCTGGTCCTGACTCTCATGGGGAAGAACTGGTGAAAAGTACTGGGTTAGGGTGGAGAAAACATTTGGAGAATTTGTCCAAAGACTGAGACTCAAGGTGAAGCATTATTTGCTCATGGAGATTGACGAGGCTAAGGGCCAGCAGCTGGGAAAGGGCTCAGCACCTCTCCAGACTGGGTGCTGAGGAGATGCTGCTTCATCTCAGTGTGATGATCCTCACAAGAGGCGGCAGAGTCTAAGCTCAGCTGCCATCACTGTGGGTGCTTGCTGCTGGGGAGGCACTGTTTCCAGAGGCAAATCCCTGAAAGGGAAAGTGATTTGTAACTGTTGAAAATGCTGTCTTCTGGCATTTTCTGGTTCTCCTTTCACCCTGGCACTTGACCTTTTGCGCACAGAAACACAGGAGGTGGGGAAAAGCTATATATTAGCTGGTTACCAAGGTTTCACTGTTTTCAGTATCCATTTCTCTAACTCTTCATCATCTTTGCTTCTGCTTGTGTTTTGATCAAAGAGTTTTACTCCCCTCAGGACAATCTTCACATCCTATCAACTGGAGGAGCTGGAAAAGGCCTTCAATGAGGCTCACTATCCTGACGTATATGCTAGAGAGATGTTGGCCATGAAAACAGAGTTGCCAGAAGACAGGATACAGGTAATCATACCTCTTGGACCCCCTTATTGTGCTGCTCTCAGCCATGTTCATCCCTCCATGAAGAAAAGGTAGAGGCTGACATTTTTCTGAATGGATTTCTCCAGGCTGTCCACTCTCCTGCTTTTGGTGGCAGACAGATCAGATATTCTTGGCAGATTTGTATTTGGTGTTTGTATGTCGACATATGCTGTGCACGGTGTGTTGTACCAGCGATTTGGGGTGTGTGTAACAGAGGGGATCTTAAATCATAGAAGGACAACAGGCATGCAAAATAAGATGACAGTGTTTCAAGGTCTTGGTAAAAGCAAGAAGACAGCCTCCCAGAGACCACGTCTGGGTAGGCATTGCTGATGGAAAAGAGCTCATCTCTGCTCCTTTGGCCACAGAAGGATGCACAGGGATGGTGTGGGCAGCTAGTTGAGCTGTGGGTAGGATGCAGTGTGGGAATGATGGGTGAGTCCCAGTGAGATGTTTGCACCACATCTGCACTTTGACTGCATTTGCCTCCTCAAGTGATGTTTCCCTGAAAGTTTCTGGGGATAATTTTTTGGGTTTTGTTTGTTTGGTTTTTTTTAATATGTTAAATTTTATTAAGTTAACAGCTTTTAACATTAAGGTTTTAGCTGCATGTCAGTCCTGTCATGCTACTGTGAGGAGGTAGAACAACAGGGTGTGGAATATCACTGCTGTTTGGTGAATCCTCCAGCAGGAAGGAGCAGCCTGAGTTGCAGGGCTGGGCTAGGCTGGGCCAAGACCAGCCTTTAGTATGAATTATAGCCAGAAAGCTGGAGAAGACTTAACAACTGCTGATTACAGTGCGGGAAGCACACTGGACAGAGTTAACATGATGTTCAAAAGGGTGGGCTCCAGCAGCTTCTTTTGCCCCACTTTACCCCATCAGGTTTCTACACAAGGCACAGGATTGTAATGGCCAAGCCTTGAGCAGGTGGAGTTCTAGTCTGGCTGGAAGTTAAACCTGTCCTGGTTCTCCACACAATGGCAGTGACTGGCCTCTGTGACTGGGCCATTGTAGTTTCTACAAGAGACGTTGTCCTATGTGCCACGCAGTCTTGGGAGGGTCCTGCTTTCCCTGGTTCCTCCTTGCGTTCATCCCTCATGCATGCCCAGCACCCACCAAGCTTGATGGCCCAGGAGGCTGCTCCCTTGTGGGTTTGGAATGTAGCTCATAGGGCACTTAGCATGATAACACTGATGCTGGAAGCTGCTGAGGTATGACCCAGTGCAGGGACAGGAAGATCCTCCAAAACAAAAGTGTAGCCTTTTTTCTCCTCTGTCCTGAGCTCCCCTCACCACCCTTATTCTTATTCTCAATCAAAAATGACATTTTTATAAAAGCAACTCGTGCTTCTTATCCCATTGACCTGGTAGGACTCCTGCTGATCTAACAGCTTGTAGATAACCTGTTGTGCTAACAGGATTTCCACCAGTCTTCAGAAATAATGACACACCATCTCAAATCCTACCTGATGCATTAGGATTTTGCTCTGAGAAACAAGCACTGACACTTTGCCTTCAGAAGACTGAAGTGGATGGATGGTCACTTCTCCACTTGTGATCCTGTAGGACATCAGGTCAAGAGAGGAGAGACTGTTGCAAGTTTATTATTGTTCACAGCCACAATTTGGTGCTCGGCTGGAAAGAAGATCCTTTGATTTCCCATAAAAGACCTTTTAAAGGAATAGGTTCATCTAGTGGCACAGTGTATGTTGAATTCCAGAGGCCCCATTTCTCTGGCCAGAGCTGAGAGCATTCACTCTCTGTGGAGTGACATGTTGTGGCAGACAGTGTAGAGCTGACACAGCTTATAAGGCTTCAGCACCTGGAACACCCTTCTAGTGCTGAGTGTTTTAACTGATTTGGAAATGAAATAGCAGGTAAAGTATCTTAGCTGTCACTGACTGGTCTGCCCTGCCATTCTACAGCTCGCTAATGAACAATTGCCTACTCTTCCTGTATTGCAGCTTTTAAACCTAGGAGGGCTCCTTACTGTGACCCCTCTGCTCTTGAGATCAGGTTAGACTTGGACAGCAGAAACACCCCAATGTATGGCTGTTCTGAACATCAGGTGTAAATACTGGCATGTGTATTCCAGAAAAAAGTGTTTGTGAATAACAGTTTTGCTGATCATGAAAGAGGAAATAATGAGAACAACAGAATTTCTGTAGGATCTGTTGGGCACCTTGCCAGGGTGAGCATCAGACTCACATAGGAGTCCTGAGCACCACTGTTCTTTCCAATAGATCAGCAATCAATTGTCCCTTACCACACATGCTATGAAACCTCCTTGTCCATATTTTTTGTGTGTGACAAGCCATGGCAAGGTGATTCCCAACTTTGATCACACTTCTTGATATTTTACCTCATATTCCTTTTCAATTTTGGGCCTTTTTGTTAGGAGCCTAATTCTTTCCCCCGGTTATAAAGTTCACGCTCTTTAAAGAAATATATTTCTTCTCATGGCTGTCACTTTTCATTTTCATCATCGCTTAAGTAAGTTGTAAAGATCTTTCCTTAAATCATCCTTCATAAATCACATGCTCATCTCTTAATCATGTGGTTGTTCTTACTAGAAGCCCATCCTGTCTGTCAGCCTTCCTGGAGATAAGGGACCACATGCCTACAGCTGCATGCTGGGTGTGCTCACACCAGTTCAGATGGACTTGTGGTCCTTTGCAGAAGTAGTCTTGGACTGGTCTGCTTGCTTCCTTATTTATTTCTATTTATCTAATTCAGTTGCTTCAAACTTCTTTTAGAAGGTTTTATTTTATGCTCAGGATTTTCCCTTCAGTGTTCTGGGTTTCATATGTAATATTGTTAACTTTGGCTAGTAAGTATAATAACAGCTCTACCAGCTCTGACAGTGGCAAGAGGTGGATGCTACACGGAGCAGCTATCTAATGATACTGAGTACTTTGTCAGTCTCCTGGGATTTTAAATACATATAAATATCTAAATATCCCATGGCAAGAAGTTCTGCAGCCTAACTGCCTGAATGCAGTAGATCTTGCTTTGAATCTCTTAGCATCATTTAATCCTCCTTGGCAGAAACAGCTTACAATGAATTTTTACTCCCATCTTCATAATATTTAAAATTTCACATCATCGCATTTTTTTCCTTGCATGAGTTTTCAGCTGCCTGAGGGAGCTCTATAGTTTTGCATTTTCATTATAGCTTTTGATTCCTCTCATCTTTTAGCAATGCTCTCTCCCTCTTGTAGGTCATTAATTGAAAGCGTTTTCTGATATTGTTGTCAGCATCACATATTGTGGACTTCTACAGCATTTCATGTGGTTTCCCACTGGATCCTCACCAAAGACTGATATCTACCCCTTATTTTCATTCATGGAATTATTTCTCAGGAGGTATTAGTCAAAGAGAAAGTAAATCACCTATGAAATTTGATGTGAAAGTCAAATTCAAAGAGGGCAATTGGAAGAATGATATATAGGAACTGTTTAGAGATAAACCTTGAGCAGAACACCACAAATAGCCATCAGAGGCCAAGAAAGTTACTGGTCTAAGAGAACATGGGAAAAAAATATTCAAACCCTCCATTTAAAGAGGATATGAAAGTATATTTTTTTTTCCAAGGCAGACACACACTCTGTGTATCTTACTCCTACACTGAGCTGGCTGCTCCCGGAAGGAAAATGAGCATCCTCCTGTTGGGCAGCATGGGAAAATAATTTTTTCATAGTGAGATACTATGCACAAGTCAGATCAGATGCCACTGTGGCCATTTTGCAGGATACTTGAAAAATACCACATTAATCAATGTATTTGAAAGAATATTCATAGGAGTTGAAGTGTCAGTATTGGAATAAACCCAGACTGTTCTTTAATATCCAGGAGAGGTAAGTAGAATCCTGTGGGGAAGTATATCCTTAATAAACATTATGAAGCATGAAAAATATCCTGAGGCTGATAAATACTGTGACATCTGACTTAAATTGCTGTTTCTCATAATAAATCTCTTAAGTGTAATGTGTAGATTTTAGATAAGTTATCGCTATTGAATTTATTAATATATAACACTTCCAAACTTTAAACTGAGTAGTTACAATATAAAAGTTCAGTAACAGTTTGAGTTCGGGATTATTGAAATGATTGTGTATGTTTGTCCTTAAAGTATGCCTCCTACTGATCAAACAAATTGATTAATCAGTATTTAAAAAAATAAGATCCTGACTGCTATTGTAGGGACATTAGAGTAACCTTTTAAGGGAAGTAATCAATTAAAAAAGGTAATAAAACTGCTAAAAATTGTCAGCTCTTGTTGTTAAAGGATTGCATGGTAATTATTGGATGACAATTTTTGGGACAAATAAAATTGCTCACATAAGCAAAAGGAATCCCAGGAAGAGGCTGGTGCTATGTGTGGAGTGGGGATTGTCTGTGCATCCAGCAAGCTTTGTCAGGCAGTTAAGAGGCCAATTTTGGCTAAAAACAAAACAAGGTCAATTAAATCTCTAATTGAAAAAGTATTGGTTTAGCTATCAGATTAACACATTTCAGTATCCCTGTGAAACCCTTTAGGAGTTGAACAGGGCTGGAGGAATCAGGAGGAGTAATCATTTAGAGGGAAGCAAGTACCAAGAGTATTTTGCAAGGACAGAGGCTTACCTTCCTTCAGTTTTGCAAAAAGGTTCTCTGTTTAGAGATGAACATAATTTGACAAGGCCTGAGGAACATGTACTGCACTGAGTGTGAGTGTGAGGAGTGAACCCACGGAGTACCCTCAAGAAACAGGATTGAAAGCATGAAGGAAAAATTAGTTTTATGCAGCTTTAGCAGCCCTGGCTTCTCCCTCCACTGCCAGATTTTCCTGCTTGTTGCAGAGTGCTGAGGTGTAGTCTGAATCCCATGGTGTAAGTATGGAATACTGGGATTGCTCCATGCAGTGGGTGACCTTTCCTGAATGTGTGCCTGGAATGGCCACCAAAATTACTCAGTGCTGCAGAAAGTGGTGGTTGTGGAT